TTAATACAAATATAAGCTTTCAAATAATGTTTTGGTAATTTTTACTCTGTAATGACAATCAAAAGAGATTTTTCACTAGATCTTATGGTCTAACCCACATTTTGTTTTAAAAATATGCATTACAGGTGAGACATATATGAAAAGTAAGGAGAATGGAAAAATGTGAATAAGTTATGATTCCTTTACATTTATGAATTTTGGGAAGCTGTTAATATGCATGTACTTGAGAACTTGTTATATCAGCAAGTCACGTACTTTGTGTAAATGAAAAAGTTGTAGTTACTTTTGTATGTAGCATTTTGTTTATATTGAGACCAATTTGTATATTTGTATTTCATGTTAAATGGACTATATGGTTTTATGCAAATATGGTTTGAGGTGTTACATGTATAAATATTAAAAAATTGTTGAATTCACGTGAAAATACATAATTATTCATGATGAATGTTATAATGAGTTGTATATTCATGATGAATATCATATTGATGTATCAAAGAGTTGTTGTATACATGGGAACATGCATAAATATTCATGATGAATATCACACAAATACACCATTTCATGTAAAAGCTGTTAAAACAAAAAAAAACTATATCAAGATGGATGTCAAATCGAAGAAAATGAAATACTCGTTTTTTTCATGTAATTTATTTGATTAAAATATATAGTATATTAAGATAATTTAGTTTCAAAATTAAGGAGGCATAAGTTTTTTAATTAAAAAGTAAAACAAAAAACGTTCTAAAAAACTTGTTGAATTGCTCAAAAACGTCTTATAAACCTATTGTAACTCTTTTAGATATGACGCTTTATAGTTTGGCCACACAAATTTAAGTCTTATAAAGTGTTTCATTCGTCAAATTTATATAACTACAAACCCGTCAACCCAACCTGCAAGGTTACGCTATACTTTTGAATAGGTTGGGTTGGGTTGAGATTTTTCCAACCGTCTTATATAATTGGATTGTAAAAATATCGTAAACCGTCCAACCCAACTTTACATGGTTTCTTTTATTTATTAAATTGAAGTAAAAATCTTATCAAATTAAAGGAAAAAAGTTCAGAAAAACCTAACGAACTTTCTCATTTTAAATGATCAAGTCTCTGAATTTTTTTCTTGAATGAAAATTTAAAACCACTGAACTTTTTTTTTGAATAATTAAGTCCCAATATATATTTTTTGAATAAACAGATCATCAAATTTTTAGAAATTAGTTATCTACATTCTTTTAACCCAAAAAAGTTATATGTAACCGGCTAAGAATGTTTTAAAGTAAAAATATATAAACCAGTTTTACTCTTCCCAAACCTTAAATCATTCAAAATCTTTAGTACCAAACAACATCGCGCCCTTGCCATCCATCGCCGCCGCTCATCACTGTCGGTGGCCTCTGCCATCTATCTTCCTCTTTCTGATTTTTTACTCCTTTTTTTATATGTTTATACGTACTCTATTAAATTGCTTAAAATTAAGGAGAATCGAAACGGAAAAAAAAGATTAAAAAGGGAAGATTAGGCAGGGGCCAACGATGGCGATGGGCGATATGGAGAACGGACGACGATGGGGCAGCGACGGATAGCAACGGGAAGTGATGTCATTGGGTGTGGGGGTTTGAATAACATGGGGTTAGAAAATGGTAAAATTAATTTAGGTTTTTTTTTTACTTTAAGATATTTCTAGTCGGTTACAAATAATTTTCTTATTAAAAAAATGTAGGTAACCAATTTTTAAAAATCTAATGATTTGTTTGTTCAAAAAGAGATGGTTCATGATTTTATTATTCAAAATAAAGTTCAAATATTGAATTATTTAAAATAAAAAAATTGTTAGGATTTTCTAAAAATTAAAATAAATAAAAATAAAAAGAATTGTGATTGATGAGAGAGATGAGAAGGTGGATCTTGTGGAGAATTAGAATAAGGAGGTGTTTGGGATTGCTTATTTAAAACAACTTATTCTTTTTTAATATTTACATTTTATACCATTTGTGATAACCGGTTATTCGGTTAGGGGTTGTTTTTAAAAATAGTGGAAAGTTGAGGGGGTTAAATTGTTTATATGCTTAAATCTTTTTTAAAAACCTCACCGCCTTCTTATTTTAAACCATGATAATATGAGATTTTATGTTATCTCTTTGAGCGAAATGCGGCAAAAGGAAGGAAAATTCATGGACTGACCCCATCATCTCCACCCCGTAGGAACTACGAGATTACCCCAAGGACGCCTTCGGCATCCAGGGGTCACGGACCGACCATAGAACCCTGTTCAATAAGTGGAACGCATTAGCTGTCCGCTGTCAGGTTGGGCAGTAAGGGTCGGAGAAGGGCAATCACTCATTCTTAAAACCAACGTTCTTAAGGGGATGATGCATGAGTTATAAGGAAAAACATAAAAAAGAAAGCTTTCTTTGTGTATTCTCTTATACGAAGCAAACAAAAACAAAGGGGAGATTAGAAGAAGTTGAATATGTGATTATTACTTGGATAATTGTTGTTGTTTATTTTTTTTTATTTTTTTTTTGATTAACCTAGATATCCAACTCGCTATGAGAGCCGACTAATCCCAGGGAGACCATCTGCTTTGCAGATAGTCCGGAGTCACCGTATTTGAACTTCCATGGCCATAAGGGGATTTTTATTTCTCCTTTGATTTGAACCTGGGACCTCCTGGTACTTTTGACCTTTGAAACCAAGCTCAAACCAATCAGGTACCACCCTTGTGGTTATTGTTATTCATCTTCATATCTTCTTCTCTTGTGATTGATTACGTGGGAGTTTTTGAAACTGAGTTTATGTTATTATTAGCATGAATTGATATTTGAATATGATTATATCAAGTGATTAGAATAAGGGTGACATACCAAATAGAGGTGTATTTTAGTTATAAGGGTAGCATATCAAGGAGAGGTATATTTTGGGACAAGGGTGACACATCAAGGAGAGGTGTATACCAGAATAAGGGTCGCATAATCAACGGAATATAAAAATTGGGTTTTTATCAAGTTGATGCATGTTATTGCATCCTTATGATGCGATAATTTTGAGATGTCGCATATGTGTGATGCGATAACTTGGGTTATCACATCCTATTGATGCGATTAGTTTGATGCGAGAAGTTGTGTTTGTCGCATCTTTGTGATGCGACAAGTTGACTTGTCGTGCTAGTGTGATGCAACAAGTTGGGCTCATTGCACCAGTATGATGCGATGAGATGGGATTCTCGTACCAGTATGTTGCGAGGAAATGAGGTTTTATCACCCATGTGATGCGAGAAATTTATGATTTTACCTATATGATGTGATAGGTTTTTATTATAATGCGATAAATAAGTTGTTTGGTTATTTGATGCAATAATTGGATAATATCTCATCATTTTGATGCGACAAAAGAGGTTTGTTTTATTTAAATATTTTTTATTGATACAAATATGAGTTTATAAATAGGTTTTGGTGATTATTCACCATGCAATAACAAACAAAGGGATTTCTTACTAGACCTCAAGGTCTAACCCTCATTTTGATGTTTTAAAAATGTACATTACATGTCGAACACAACTAAATAGTAAGGGGAAGAGGAATTGTGAAAAGTTATATATATGCTTGCATGGGATGTTGAAATAACATGTTATCTTTTGTAATTGAATATTTGATATGCATACAAATTTTGTATAGGATTTCATGGAAAAATTTAGTAGCTACTTTGTAATGTAACTTTTGTAGATATTGAAACCAGATGTCTAAATTGTATTTCTTGATAAATAAAATATATGTTTATATGCAAATGTGATCTTTATATTTTAAATAAATAATCAAAAGGATAGAAATTATAAGTTTTTAAAAATAATTCATACATATTTAGGGGGTGTTTGGGATTGCTTAAGATTAAATATAAAGAAACAATATTGAACTCATTTGAACGTATTGAGTAGACGATTATAATGATATAACTAATAAACAAAGAAACATATTTTTTTTATGTATTTTAGTTAATATACGATTATACGTGTTAATATAATAGAAGTGTAAAATAAAAAATAAAAAAATAAGAAAGATAAATTAAATTAAATAATTAATTATAAGAATGTAATAAAATGGCTAAAAAGCAAGATGACTTTAGTTTGAGTAAATTTCCCTAATTTATAATCAAATTATATATGAAAAATGTAAAAAATAAGATGTAATTCTTCATTTAATTGTAGCGAGTCTTCTTCTCCTTCAATGTGGCACCGATAATAAGTATTTTTGAGTATTTAGATAAACAGTTGATACCGATGTCAAACCGGTAATAAGAAGTTTTTGAAGAAATCAAACCATTATAACTTATAATAAATTGAAAAGAACTTTTGAAAAAAAGCATAAGTTGTTTCAAATAAGCATCCCCTAAAGAGAGTTTTTAAAAGGATGAAAATGCAATTTTGACATCAAATGTATAGCTTTTCTTTATCCCTTGTACAAAATCTGAAGGCTCAATTAACCAACACAGTGGCTAATTAATATTGTGCAAACCTTCTTGTTGAGTAATCTTTGAGTAATCTTTAGAGACTGTTTGACAATTGCTGAATGGTTTAGTACAAAATGATTAAATGACCAGAATGATTAAAATGCTCTCATGATATAGTGCAAAATAAAATATAATAGTTTGGTAATTATGTACAATGAAATTATAGCTCTTAATGGTTAAGAGAGATCTAGGATACAAAATCATTCAGAGAGTTTTAAAACCATTAAGAGACAGATTTCTTTTTGTCAAACAAGATTCACCTCTTAACGATTCAAAAATTGCCTCTTAATGGAACTATTAAGAGATAAACAAACAACCCCTAAATCTTGGAATAATACGATATCTCATTTTCTGTCAATTTACCTCACTTGTCATTCATCCTCAGAATCCTACAAGATGGTCAAAACTTCATATGGGTTCGAGTCCTACTAATTTGTATTTCCATAGGATATCCTTAATCCTTCATATGTCATTAGGTGAACAAGAATGCTAGCTGAATCGCCAGAACTAAACAGTCATTAGATATATATATTATATGCATATTATTTAAACCATGGAATCAGGTGTCCTTCCTTTTACTAACATTTCAAACACATAAAATGATGATAACATGCCACACATGATGATGATGATGATGATATTATAGACATACTGTTTCAACCACAAAGAAAACACAGCGTCATCATTTCTTCAGATGCGGGAAACAAGCATTCACGTCAGCTTTCGGATGTTTTGCTTCAGCATGTTCCCTACATTTCACCTCTGATGTTGTGCAAATGAAAGTTTGCATGCATACCTTGCACTGCAACCACACAATAACACATCAATTTTTATTAATCACCAAACATTCATAATTATTATTATTAACAATTGCTCAATAATGCTAATATCAACATTGTAATCTATTAAAAGTTGAACATCAACAACATCATAATATGATATCTGAATTTTACTTACACCTGTCGTACAAAATTGTTCATGTAAATAATCTCATTGCTGGTCTAGATTCATGATCCACCCACAATCTTCAAAGTAAACAAGCATACCTCATGTTTCTGTTTGGATTTGGTTTACCGTGTTCAAATACAAGACATGAATAAGTTGAGCAACATAACGGATTTAATACACGATCAAAGCATAAGATGGAAGTGCCAAACAAGAGTACATAATGGGCTTCAGTCTAGCAGGATCATAGACATATAGAACCAGATAAGATATTTGTGGTAGTGTTGTCTTGTTTTATCCTTTACTTAACCTGTATACCACAAAATCAAGCTTCTTTCCCAATAGGAGATCATTTAAACTGACAGAATTTTCATAGAGAGAGCAAATACACCTCAACAGTTATCTGAAGCTGTGGTTGCAATTTGTCAATCTTCTTTATTTTGTATTCCCATGTACAAACAATCATTCATTAGATACCCTTGAAGCTGACATAGAAATCTTAAAGTGGGACTGAACTATGTCTAACCAAATTTCCATATTACTATACTCTCTTTCAGAACCACTGGAAAGAATGTACGATGGCTAAGACAATGGATACGTTACACCCTCCCATGTTGATACAACTGTCATTTTCAAAAAAAGCTGCTTGCCCTAACATTCATGCACTTGTCAGAATCCTTCTGAATTCATGAGCACATGTAGATAATGACTTTTGGCATATTGCTTCACAGAGATCACAATGCCTTTGCACTGTGCTTCACATCTCATAGTCCATCACATACTGGAACCACCACCTTTCATTCATAAATCACCATCATCCACCTCCATCACACACATGGAAAAACATGATAATCCATACAATTTGGTTGTGTTTGGTACTCAGTAAAGCCTCCTTTTGGTGGTCATCATATTGTATCACCAATCAAGAGAGAGAAGTTCCAAGTTCACTCACCAACAAGACATCAAACCCAGTTCGAGAAATCAGTCAATTGCTGTGTTATATGGATCAAAAGTTAGTTTCTTTTTTCCAATTAATGGGATACGAGCCAAAGGAACTTTAAAGAAGGTATGTTTATAAGGGCACCCATCTTACATTTCTTCTTCTATGGAGACTCTTCCATGACTCTAAACTAATTATGCTTTACTTTTCAAATATGAGTTGTTCCATTACTCTTCAAGGTAGTTTCTTTCTCCTTATTTAAACAAACACCATTTCACTTTGTGGTTTATCTTACATGGTATGATGGTACCCTACCTATGAAGTTAATCACCAAGGTTTGAGAAACTGATGAAGCAGCTTCAAAGTATGAAGCATCAAGAATCACATTGAGATATCGATCCCTTGGTATTCCATAAGTGGTGCAAACCATGCTAAAATAAGCCAAAAGCTCATCAACATATCATACTCGGTTATTTTGGGCACGATTAAATAACCTTTTTAAACCTGAGAAGGACTTTCTATTATATATCCCCAAGAATGACCACATTAATTGATTCCAACTAAGAACAAATGCTCTCCTGATAAAATAGTTACACTTTAACTTGTTCTAGAACCTATTGCTTTTCAAACGCAAATCTGGTTTAAATATTGTTGTATATTACAAAGGCCAAAATTTAAGTGCATGGGGCATTTTCACTCAGGAAAAAGGGTCTAAAATCCACACTAATTTTGAGGTTGAGAAGTAAAACGTTTTGACACCAGTCCAAATGTAGCCATTCTTTTCAAGGATAAGAACATATAGCAGCAAGTAATTCAATGAAATATGAAACACGCACCAACAGATCTAAAAGAGTACAACCTATTTGGGAATTTTACCTTCCGCGAGAGAAAAACTACAAAGATCCTAGCGGAAAAGGTTGAAACACAGAGAATTATTAATTTTTTAATTGAAAAATCATGGGTTCCTAATACCTCCTTCAAGGAACACTAAACGGAACGAGTTATCAGAAAGCCGATTTTCAGAACATGATTGTTTTAGCTTGTGTTTGATTGATCTAAGTCATATAACAAAATTATTGATGATGAGACAACAGATCAAAGCAAAACCTGGATGCTCATAGCTTTCTTGTTGGCTTCAAGCTGACTTCCTGTTTAAAGATCAAACCGATAATCAGCTGAAACATATGGACAAATCAGGTGATTACAGAAATCGAAGATATGGACGGAAGAACAGAGCAAGATCATAGATTAGGGAGTCCTGCTTTAACCGATGGGAAGAAAAAGGGTTGGATGGAATTGGGGAGAGTACGTACCCTTGCCGGCAGCTTTAGCTTTCTCCAAGTTCTTTTCACGGGCCATCTTGGACTTCTGAGCATTACCTCCACCCATGATTCCCTGATCTCTGCCTCTCTCGCCCACCGAATTCAAAACCCTAATTCCACAATGATGCACCTCTCTGGGTGGAAACGGGTGGGTATTTATATCCAATTACTTTTGCCTTTAGGAGTTTGTTCCTTTTTATAATATATCGAATTACTTTAGAATGTATATGGGCATTACAATGCATAATGCAATATATTTTTATTTCATATTTTTTTATTATAATAAATTGTATAAAAAAGTAACGTATTTTAACTTGATTCATATTTTAAGTGACGTACTTTTAAAACTTTTATTTTGATATCTAAGATGTAAAATTTTAAACATTTAAGTACTCGGGTAACCGGTTGACGACTAATTTTAAATTAAAAAAAGACTAATTTTAGATTTAAAAAATTCATGTCACTAACCACGTCACCAAATAATGTTGAGTTAGATATCACATCACTCGTCACATCAGTATGAAAAACGGTTAACGCTTCAACTGGTTACACAGGTACTTAAATGTTTAAAACTTCACATCTTCGATACCAAAATGAAAGTTTTGAAAGTATGTTACCTAAATAGGAATCAAATTAAAGTACATTATTTTTTCCATGCAATTTGGCCTTTTGGTTAAAGTGAATGTTTTTTGTTGGTTATTATTTGTGTGTGCTACTTTAAAGTATAAAGAGGTGTTTGGTTTGCAGAATATTTTTTAATGAAATAGAATATGTTAAAATTTTTTGATTTTGAAGGAATTAAAATGAAATATTATCATATTTGACCACTTGTTTGGTTAACAGATATTGGAAATGAATATGTTAGAAAAATTGGAATTTGTCTGTTTGGTTCACATAATGTAGTTTTAGAATTGGAATGAAATTTTGGTAATGACCAAAATCCCCTTTTTAAAAAAATTTGAAACCGAAATCCAACTAAAGTAATTCATATTGGTGGTGGTCGGCAGTGGTCGACGCTTGACGGTGGTTCAGATCGACGATGGGCGGTAATGGTTCATATCGGGCGTGGTCGGTGATGTTTAAATTGGTGGTGGTCCATGATGGTTCAGATAGCAATGGTCGGCAGTGGTTCAGATCGGTGGTGGTTCAGTGATGGTGGTTGGGGAGTGGTTCAGATGGTGGTGGTTGGCAGAGGTTCAAACTGGTGGTGGTTCGCAGTGGTTCAAATGGCTGTGGTCGACGGTGGTTCAGATTGACGGTGGTCGGTCAGCAGTGGTTCAGATCAACGATGGTCAGCGGTGGTTCAGATCAACGGTGGTTGGCGTTGGTTCTGATCAATGGTAGTTGGTGGTGGTTTAGATCGGTTGTGGTCGACGGTGGTTCAGATCAATGGTGGTCAACGGTATTTAGCGATAGTTTAGATCAGTGTGGTTCATATCAGTGGTGGTTGGTGATGGTTCAGATCGTTGGTGGTCGGCGGTGGTTCAGATCAAGTAGGAAAGATAGGGATAAATTTGTCTTTTTGATAGAATAAGATAGAATGAAATTGTATTACTTCTCAATTGTGATGGAATGATCAATCAATGAATGGTGGAATGTGGGGAATTCAATTCCATTCCATAAGTAAATCAAACGTCTGAACGAAATTTGGTCAAAGGAATTGATCATTCCAATTCCTTCGAATTCCGTTGGAATCCTGCGAACCAAACATCCCCTTAGTATAAGTATAATTTAACGCTTATCATGTATTTAAATATGTTTATCAGTTGATTATTAATTATTTTTATAAAGTTTAAACATATTAATAAGTAGTAATATACGATAATTAAAATGTATATTTTTTTATATAATTTGTTTAATAAAAAATTTAATTATATTCAAGATAATTTTAGACCTTTTTAGATTCTTTTTTAGAATTAAGATAAATATCTCGGTTTTAAAACTTGATAATATAATTTTTTATAAAGATAATAATTAAATATTTTGTTAGAACTCAATGTTTATCCTAATTATATTTAAAATGAGATGTTTATCCTCTACTTGATTATGTTTATCTACAGTTAGTTACACAAATTCAAACATGAAGCTTTAGTAAGTTGTATTTACGCACCATTTACTTATAATCTTGAATTTTAAGTAATATGTATCACTAAACAGTACTTCAAGCATAAAAAATTGTTTTTAAGAGTTTTTGTCAAATGCTTTATAATATAGTATAGATATATTTAATGTTGTTATACTCGAAAGATTAAGAGTTTTTAACATACATATTTTACGACACACGTACAGATAAAATTGTTTCCTCCAGACATTTGATTCTCGAAACAAATGCGTTTCAAAGTTTTTTTATTTCTAAATAACCGTTACATGTCTAAAACCGTTGTATATAACACCACGTCTTGACGGCTTCTCCTTTCCTCTCTTCTACATTTCGTTTATTCAAGACCCCAAACATTTCTGCCGAAACCTCATTCTTTCTATTTGTTTCTCATCAACGTACTTGAATCTACTTTTCTTCATCTCCTTGCTACAAGTAAAGGGCGTTCGTGGTGCTGTACAATTTAAAGTCAAAACTGCAAACCAAATAACAGATCGAGTTTGATATTCTTTTCAAAACGCAAAATATGGTGTAATGCGGTTTTATGGCTCTATGCGCTTTATACCTAAGGTGATGCATGAAAATGAAAAATGGTAATAGACAACATAATTAAGTCCAAATGCATAACAAATCTTAATCATAACTTCTAAAACAAAAACAAAAAAACCGATCAAAAGGAGGAGATAGATGGTAGGGGCCAATGATGATGATGAGTGGTGATAGAAAGCAGACGACAATGGGGGCAGCGAGGGGTTTGAATTAAGTAAGGTTTGGAAATAGTAAACTTAATTTAGGTTTTTTTTACTTTAAAACTTTCCTAGCCAGTTATAAGTAGATTTTTTTTGTTAAACGAATGTAGGTAACCAATTTTTAGAAGTTCAGTGGTTTATTTATTCAGTTATAGTGATAAGTTTAATAGTTTTTCATTTAAAAACAGAAAATTAATTGGATTTTCTAAACGTTTCCCAATTTTAAATCCAGTTTTTGATGCTCCAAAGCAAAAGAACCAGTAAAGTGGCTACAATGTCACCATAGTGGTGGTGCAAATATACACTTGACACTATGATCTTTTTAAGTAATAAAGTGGTATAAATAATGAGATCGTATCCACAATGATCGGACTTCAGAGTTTCGAGTACTAGGTTGAGAATACAATGATTTTAACTAGAGAAGAAGCAATATATTTGAGTGAGTTTGATGATTTTCACAATGTAATCTAAACAAGTAATTGAAAATGGGTATGCGTGTAACTGTCACTTAAAAGATCAGTAGTCAATATGGTCAAGGAGACTGTCGTAAAAACATCGATAAGAGTCCCCATCTCTCAAAAGTGAATTTCCGTAGAGTGTGACCACAATCTCCCTACAGTAGTGTTAAAAAAAGATCGCCAAAACAGCCGCAGTGGCGTGTCGTGGCATAAGGCTTATGTCTCACGCCACGTTAAGCCCGTGGAACGTCGTGACCTAATGTGTGGTTTTTGTAATGCAATATTTGATCTTTTTTACTTTTTAATGTCTTATTTGTTAGTTTCTAATGTATAACCTAATTTAAATTATTAAATATTATTAACTCATTGAGTAATAGTAGAAAATATACGTTTATACATATAATAACTTATATGATATAAAGACTTGGCGCCATAAGGCATACCTTGAAAACTGTCATGGTCTCGTCGTGTCTCCTAAAGCTTGAGCTTGGCGTCGCCACTTTGCGACGCCTTACGCCATTTAGAACATTGCTACATTTACCAACCGAGGGCTTGTCGAATGAACTAAATAGATTTCAGGGAATCTTAGTGCTACCAATATGGAGAAAATGCTCATATCTCTATGTAACACCACCCTCGACCAACGTTTGAACCTTAGTTACAAAATCATGCCAAAACCTGTATCTCTACATGATTATGAAAGGTTTTCTCAGATTTTCTTGCATCACTCAAGCCGTATTTTAGAATATACCCATCTCTGGATCTAATCAATATTTTCAAGTGATCTACTTGTCCGTGTTGGGTTAAAGTTTCAACTTGAGTAACCAAACCCAAGAGTTAGCAACAATGGCAACCCCTAAGTGTTTCCTATTAATCTTAGGATCGACTCACACCTACAAGTAAAGAACATAGTAGAAGAAGAGAAATACTTAAAAGTCACCTGCACTAAAAATAAATTACAAATTATCGTCACTGTATCTCTACAGTGGCAAACAATGCTGAAAATTAAAGATTTTAAAATAAATTATAACTACAAAAAAAAAAAGAACACATACCGAAGAAACACAATAAAAGAGAAGAAAAACTCACATAAATGATGTTAAATAACACTCAAAATGAGTAGGTGGCTAGCTACCCATTGTGTTGTTCGACAGTGTCTTTTCTAACAAACATCTGATAAGCAACGTCCCTTTGATTACGACGATGATCTTGATGTTGTCGACCTACACATGGTTCAACGACGTGCAAGCCAAATAACATCCCTTCCCTTTTCGATGTTGTTTGGATTAAGAGAAAAGGACCATCATTGCAATCCTTTTTAACTTTAATTTGTTCGGAGTACTTAAAGCCCTTTAACATTTTTATTTTTAAATTAGTCTCGTTTTAACATTAATTACATATAGGGACGGACCCAGAATTTTTTTCAAATTGTAGCACCATTTGACTAAAAAAATTATAGGAAAAAATTTCAAACGATGAAACCATTTGACTAAAAAAATTATAGGAAAAAAATTTCAAACGATGAAACCATTTGACTAAAAAAATATATGGATTTTTTTTCCCTTCAAACAGTGGCACCATTTGACTAAGAAAATGACACTAGCAAGATTCGAAATTGGATCTGGGGTGAAATAAAAGCCTTGCAAACACAGCTATACCAAATAAAACTTGTTCTCATTGTAGTTTCAAAATACATACGGTGACACACAACAAATTAATACGGTTGCACTTTTCATGAACATATTTTTTTTGATTAACCTGAATATCCAACCCGCTATGCGAATCGACTAATTTCATGACGACCATCTGCTTTGTAGATAGCCCGGAGTCACCGCATTTGAATC